ATTGTGATGTTAGAAAGTGCTAGTCCACTCTGCTGGTGTGTTAAAACACACACAGATATAAAATTAAATACATGAATAGCAGCAATATAGGATGGGTGATCCCTGGCTTGAAAGTAGTGCATGGGAAAATGATCTAGGAGGGTCTTTATGGAACCCAAACAAAACATCAGTCAACAGGGAGGTGTGATGGCCAAAAAGCCAATGCAGATAAAATTCATCAAACGACAACATTAATAACTCCTCCTTCTTTGCAGGTCTTTAGGCAGAATGTGCATTTTTCAGGCATGCTTTGGCAGAGGATGAGATTAGATGGCCTTTGCAATCCCTTATGTAAACAAAAGCGAGGATGGTAGTAGACTTCTTGGCTATTGCAGAACCATGTTGGCTCACAGGCACATCATCATCCTCTTTCCTCTTTCCTCAGCTTACAGGCAGCATTTACGAGAGAGCAGCTGGTATGATCCAATTGTTCCTGCCCAGTACTTGGATCCAACTACGCGGTGGGGTGCCTTTCTCTGGAAGGACAAGCCGACCCTTGGGAAAGAATACGGTAAAGAGCTAGACGGACGGTAGGGGGAAGAGGAAGGAAGAAAGGAGGTGAATGGGATTCTCAGGATGGTGGGGATTGAACCAGGGATGCTGTTCCTGCTGAGCAGATGCTATGCTCTTGTTTTGGCCTTTCCAGCAAGCTTCTAGTCCTCATGATTCTGAATAAGAGGCCCAATTTAAATAGGAGGATAGGAAGTAAGAGAGCCAGTGTGGTGTATAGTGGTTTGAGTGCTGTGCAAGGACTTTGGTTCAAATCTTCTCTCAGCCATGAAGTGTCCTTGAGCAAGTCCCACTCTCTCAGCCTCAGGGGAAGGCAATGGCAACCCCCCTCTGAACAAATCTGACCAAGACAACCCTAGTATAGGGTTGCTGTTAGTCAGAATTGACTTGAAGGCACACAACAACAGTAGCAACCTATGTTTGTACTTTCTAGGTGCAAGAGAGTTGGGTTGGTGTAGTGCCTTGAGTATTGGGCTAGGAATCTGGGAGATCAAGGTTCGAATCCCCGCTTGACCATGGAATCTAGGTGACTTGGGCAAGTCTCTCACTCAGTCTCAGAGGAAGGGAGCGGTGAACCACCTCTGAAGGCATCTGGCCGAGAAAACCCTAGGGTAGAGACACCATAAGTCACTTATAGTCAGAGATACCACGGAGCTCCTTATGTTTAATGCTTCCTCCCTCTTCTTCCCTTTCCAGTTGTCAACCGCAACCGCTGTGCTGAGGAGTTGAATGGAAAGCCCGGCTACGTCCCTCACTTGTCTCTCCAAACTCCCGAATTCACCCGAAGGGACTATCGCACTTGGAGGATGTTCCAACACCAACCATCCACCAACAACCAGTAAAACCTCTTTCCGCTGCTTGGCATACGAGAATCCTCCTTCTCACTCCAAGGCGGGAGGAGTGAGTGTCCTCCAAGGCACAGGGTACATCCCTCTCGACAAATGGGTGCCCACCCAATATTTGAGGGCCCTGTGGCTGTAACATAGCCCCGTAGCATGGCTTGCTGCTAAAGGTTGTTTCCTCTTGCCATGAAAAGGGAGGAAGGGATAGCGAGAGATAGCCTTTTTGGCTGCATGTAGATTTTCAGGCGGAACTCCCTGCCACTGGATGAAACCATGGCATTTGTATGTGTTTTGTGTGTGTGAGAGAGATACCTTCCTAGAGAAAAAGCAAGACTTCTCTTAAACTTGCATCCTGGAAGGTTTAATAAAGAAAAGGTGCTACCTTCAAGGAAAATAGCTAGATTTTAATCTGCCCCCAAATTGCCTTTATTTATATTTTAAAACAACACATGGAGAAAGTACAAGGGGCAATCCTCCTCACTTCGCAGCGCCACTCGCTCCTTTTAAAAACACTCTTTGATAGACTTTCAGAGTGCTTCAGAACATAGAAGCTGATGGCTACATTTGCTCTCCGCAAGATGTCCCCTTCCTTTTTTTATTCTCAGATATCACACACAAGGCCTGGAGGATCCAGACCGCCCTGTTTATCCCTGACACTTGGGACTCAGCGGTAAACTCCTTGTGAACAGTGGTAGTTAATGGCGCCCATGTCAGTGGAACAATGAGTCCAAATCCAGATTTCCATCTTGGTTTTAAGGGTGCTTTCCAAGGTGCTGAAATCAATTCCTGCCTGTGCTCAGCATCTTGGAGAGCTCCATTGAAGGTCTCACTTAGTCCAGTGCTTGGACCTCTCCATTGATGGTCCTTCTTGGGCTGTCACCTTGAAGAGCTCCACTGAGGCTCTCTCTTGGTCCAGGACCTTGCAGAGATCCATTGAAGGTTTCTCTCTTGGTCCAGGATCTTGAACAGATCCACTGAAGGGCTCTCTCTCGGTTCAGTGCCTTGGAAAGGTCCACTGAAGGTCTCACTCTTAGTCCAGTGCCTTGGAGCTTTCTATTGATGGCCCCTCTTGAGTTGTCACCTTGGAGAGCTCCATTGAAGGCCTCTCTTTTGGTCCAGGACCTTGGAGAGCTCTATCGAAGGCATCTCTCTTGGCCCAGGACCTTGGAGAGCTCCATTGAAGGCCTCTGTCTTGGTCCAGGACCTTGGAGAGCTCTATCGAAGACCTCTCTCTTGGTCCAGGACCTTGGAGAGCTCCACTGAAGGCTTCTATTTTGGTCCAGGACCTTGGAGAGCTCTATCGAAGGCCTCTCTCTTGGTCTGGGACCTTGGAGAGCTCCACTGAAAGCCTCTCTCTTGGTCCAGGACCTTGGAGAGCTCCATTGAAGGCCTCTCTCTTGGTGCAGGACCTTGGAGAGCTCCTTTAAAACCATCCAAAGCCTGAATGGACTTACAGCCCCACCAACATGGGATCCACCAGCTTCTGAATAGCAAGTCCCAATTGTTGTGATACCTTTATAAAACAACACTGCCCCACACCTTCTCCAAAATCTGGTCACAAAGGTGCTTTACATATCATAATCACACCCTCAAAGCTTTTAATTATACTTTCTACGATGGTACATTTGATTTAAACACACAAACAGAGAAACATTGTTG